TTGCATATTTAAAATATTGTTTAATCATAATTGAATTAATTCGAACTGAGTCACTGAATTACATCGCACTAGACAACTTTCTTAAATCGTAACTTAGATCTTTCTTGGATCTTCAACTTCTTCGAAAGTGCAAAAATATTTTACAGTAACAGAATCGATAAAACCACCGCAAGTTTCGACTGTACAGAAAATATTCTTTTCCTCGTCGAGAGTAGAGTGGCATTACAGGCCAAACACTGGTATACTCACTTCTATTTGCCGCGTACAAATATTTATTGCGCAATCTTCTTCGCCGTCTTTGTCCACGAGCCCTTATGCAATTGCTTGTTACCTAGAAAGTTGCAGGAAATAGCTAAATATAATTTTATAATGACAAAAATCAGAGAAAAAATCACGAAGCTCGAATCGAATGACGATCGTTCCACGCGATGTTACGAGATTCGAATACGATACGAGAACGTTGGTCACGGACTGAGGTCTAATATCTTTTGCAGCAGCCGAATATAGCAACAGGAAAGTGCAAACGCGAAAAAAACAAGCATGCTGCAATTGTCGTGTCAAACGCGCGTCAGCGTGTACCAGTATTTCAAAAACGATCAACCACAAGCTCCTTACAGGGTCTCTCTGTTTCATTACAAAATGAGTGGATAATTTATGCGTTTACAGTAGATGGCGAGAAAGTAGTCAACATATAATAATAGTTATAATATATATAATATAATATAATACAATTAATGTTCAATAATAGTTAAAAATAGTCACAGATATAGATATTCTATATTAATAATAGACATTCATAATAATATTTAATGAATAAATGTCCTCTTAAATCTTAAATCTTTATAAATCTTAAATCTTTATAAATTTACTAAGTTCGGTTATCGTGGTAAATTTTGAAAGTTTATAGTAGTAAGTTCCGAGTAAACATGTAAATGATATAAATAATAGTAATTGATAAAGTAAATTTAAAAGAATCATTTCTTTTTTTCAATTTATGCATTTGAGCATCATAAATATATGAGTAACGAGTAACGTTAAGTCCAAAATTAGGAGAGACAAGTTATAAAAATAGCCAAGTGCCAATTTAATTTGCGTATATCTTTTTTACATTGACAGAAAAATAAACATCAATTTTTGCACCATAAGTAAACAATGACAATATTTTGTTCATTATATTACAGTTATAGTTGTCATTGAAAGAAATTTTTTTTATAATAAAGTTACATTTTTTTTTTTTTAATTAGGTTATAAAGTACCATACACTGAAAAATCCTGAAAAGAATTTTCGCAATATTAAGAAAAAGGAATTAATTCATTTGTCGTGTTAAGGAGCTCGTATGTTATATAAATTAGAAAAATATCGACTGATTATCGAGATTGTTCTTGATTCACATTACATCGCGAAACAGAAAATATTCCAATTCTTTGCGTAAATTTCACTGGCACGACATTCTTTCGACTGTCGAGTTGTATAATAACATTATGGCCAAATTCGTTCTTATGTAACGTTCTCGTAATCGCTCATGAAATAGTCATCGCTGGTCCTTTGACCTCAATATGTGTCTAAGAATTCGGTCGCTATCTTCTATGACAAATAAAAATTGAAAACATTGACAAATAAAAATTTAAAGAAAAACAAATAAAGTAAAAAATGTCATGTATCCTTAACTATGGTGTATACAGTGTGTATCGATAATATTGATGATCCGTGAAATTAAAAGTGACGTGACAAGTAAGAACATAAAATTAAACTGACACTGAAAAATGTATTTAAAAAGTAAATGCAAAATAATTATGAATGAAATCAAAGTGACACTGAAAAGTTCATGAGACAAATGTATTTAAAAAATGAATGTAAAATAAGTATAGAGTGAATGAATTACTTAACGAATTCTTTGTCCAATTGTATTAACTCGTACATTTCAAAAATGGTGAAAAATAAGAAAAGTCTTCTGACGAAGAATAAAAGAATCGTAGCACAAAAATTTTCAAAATACAAAAGGGTTATAGAAAAGTAGATGGAACACCGTGTTGACAGTAGTTTCCAACATTATATAAATTTCAAAGATAGTTATCAAAAAGAACCATTTAAATCCAAACGATTGTCAGTCATTCACTTGTCAAAATTTGTTAATTGCATAATAATTTCAAACTTGATATAAAAATCAAGGGAAAAGAAAACCATCTTACCTTGACGACAGTTCTCCAAATTCGTTCCTTCAAACAAAAACACTGGTGCCAGCTGATAAAGTGCAAACCGATCTCCGTGGCGAGCAAACGCGCAGAAACAAGTGCATCTTGTCGGGCGGCAGAACCGTCACTAACGAGATGAGTCTCTCCTCCTTTCGATACCTCGAATCAACATCGAAGGTCGTCGGCGTTTTTTACGAAATACATCGCATCGACAATTTTACGAAATTCTAGCGTCCTTCGTTCATTCATTTCTCCGGGTTCTCCGACTGCGCCTCGCTGTGGGAAAATTTCTCTCGATGACGCAACCAAATTTTCCACGATGATGCGATGATGATGATCTCGGCACGTCCCGCGCAAAGATTGAATGACAAATAATCCCTGAATTGTAAATTCAACGAGTTTATTAAATTCGGAATTTTCATTTTATTTTAGACAGGCTTTAGATACTTTAAATCCCGTAGAATTTGCATCGAAAGATTTCAAGTGAAAGACATGTGAGACAAGTGGAGTAATTTCAGTATTAAAGTTGAAAGAAAAAACATAAATCATTTCAAGATACCGATTTAATTATAAATGGAATTGAACGAGTGACATTTCTTACATTGACTTTAAGTCTTCCATTGAAATTGAAATACAGAATCTCCACCAGAGAAGATAAAGTGAAAGACAAATGAATAAAATATAGAGTATTCAATTTTTAGGAGGAAGACACAAATTATTTCAAAGTATCGGTTCAATGGGTGAAATTGCGAACGGCGCCTAATAGTCGGCCAACTGTTGCATTCCTGCGCGCAGCAGGAAGCAAATCTGCAGGCAAACAACTATCTGCACCAAGAAATTTTATCATCGTAAATTAAACTACCATTTTCCTCGTCACTCTGTATGAAATTTTATTATCGTAAATTAAACTACCATTTTCCTCGTCACTCTGTATGAAATTTTATTATCGTAAATTAAACTACCATATTCCTCGTCACTCTGTATGAAACCGTGGCGGTTGTGGAGGTCAACGACAATCAGGAAAGTAGAACATTCTTGGCGTGACAATTAATCGCTCGTCGATATCTTAGATACGTTTGCAACTAGGACACCGGCCGAGTCTTTTCACCTAAGAGGCAACCTCTGTTGCGCAATTGCGCGCATTTCCATTTGAATCTTCAGCTAGACGGTACGAAGTTCGTCCAATGTTTCAACCTACATTCACGCGAGGACGCGAGTAATCAGATGTTAATCACACGTAGTTTTTAATCTTACCTCTGGAGAAATTCTTTGAATACTTGGAATACCCACTTCCTACGCCCAGTATATCTATAATTGTGAACTATTCCCGATTATGTGTACTTTTGAAAAGGCACACCGCACGATCGAGCAACGTTTCCTAAGCTGACAGTCGCACGCGAATTATTTCGCGTAATTGCAGCGAGTACAGTTGCATAATTTTGACAGTCGATGATTAAGAAACTGCGCGGCGTACATTGTCAGCTGCAGTCACATTCCTATCCCTCTTTTCCCTTGTCTCTTCCTGTTCGATCGAGTATCTGAATATTGCTTTCACCGGACACGGAAGTCTGGAGGAACAGCCGTTTACTCGAATCGCATTTTTCGGTGTCGCGAGACCGTGTCCACGTACCAATTAATTTCATTTTATCGTGCAGGTAACACGGCTGAATATAGCTCGAACGAGCGTTGAGAATGAAAATGATAATTTAAATATAGTATTATACTCTTTCACTTGTAACTTCGATTAAAATGGTTCGAACTTTTGCAAGCAAGCCTTATTTCTTATATTTCCATTGCTGCTGCTACTGATATCAGGTTGCCAATATTTATGTAAACTCAATTTTTTATTGAATCTGGAAACCTAGAACTGTTTCATCTGATATGGCATACTGCTCTTTGAATATTTTATACATTTTTATGCTTACAATCATCTCGTAAACACTCGTAAAAATTTGCATAAGAAGTTTATGAATGATTTGCAAGAAGAGAGACAAGTTTTTCTACGATTGAAAAACAAAAGAATAAGAAAATTGAAGTTGATCAAACGACTAACTACGCGACAGATTCGCGTCGCTTTCGTGTATAGAAATTATCTTATATGAGAAATCTTCAATTGAAAAGTATTTTCCGACGACTGAGGTTCTGTTTTTTACAACATCGTTCATACGTTCGTTCGATCGGAATCACACGATCGATGGAATCTGTAAACGTACTTCTCCAAAAATCTAATATTCGCACATTTGACATTTAATTCGTGAAAGCAATGCATTATTCAGATTATGTAAAGCACTGTACTTTCTCAACAGGCGATCATTGAACTATCGCCTTTTATTTTAGGTCGCTTTATGGCAGTGAATTTGGTAGGAAACGAAGCAATCGAGAGATCAATGATCGTCGAAAACTTGTAATCAATAAACTGGAAGTTTAATCCTTTCACGATGTCGATGCTACAAAGTACAGTATTAAACTTTAATAAGTTACAAATTACATAAACGATACCTAAATACAGACAAGAGTATAACTGTGTAAATGGCCATTTATCGAAAAATTGTCGATGGTTGAAACTGACATTTGTAAAAAAGGATTACATAAAGATTTGATCTTATTTCAAAGCGTGAGGCTTCTACTTGGACAGTCATCCATTTTGTTTTTTCTTCAAGATCACTTTACATCGTGCAACGAGCGGAAAAGTGAGGATTTTTCTAAGAAATTCTACCAAAATTCGAACGCGTGTAATAATATTAAAAAATTGTTTTCATGGTCACAATCACTGCGATCTTGAAGATTAAAGTTTTTTTTTTTACGAGGCTTTAAAACTCGCTGTACGATTTTTTTTCACTATTTTATATTGAATTTGAAACGTTAGAATCAGGTGACGAAATGTTAGGAATTTTTATAGAATTCTTCTCGTCTAATCTCCAAAAATACTAAGTAATATGGCGAAGAAAATTGCACGACAAGTTTTAAAAAGAAGACTTCAATCTTCCAAGCAATGGTAGATCTGGTTACGAAAAGAATCTTTTTAACATTCTCATGCACGTTTCGAATTTTTCACTTTCCCTTACTACGAACTCAACTAGCTATTAAAGTAGAAGCTTCACGCTTTAAAATGAAATCAAGTGGACCTTTATATGATCTATTTCTGTGAAATTATGTTACCAGTTTAAATCGTCATAGACACTAGACGTTTTTCATTGTCACAGACACAGTTGTGCTCTTTGTAGTATATTTGACGGACTGCGTTTTCTTATTCTCTGTATTTAACCGTAAAGCTAATTTTTCACAAAGTATAAAAAAACAATTCGAAGAGAATTTGTCGATGTACGAAGGACAGTGAATATAATTCCGCCCGTAGGAAGCAAATCCCTCTAATGGAACATCTGACAAGCACCTGAGGTCCTTTCGATCACGATTCACGCGAGGATGAGTATTCCTAAGTTCTAACTAGGTAATTCGGACTATTTGTACAATTCGGAACACTTCGTCGCCAAAGAATAGCGTACGTCAATCAGAATTTCCCCGTAAAAGTCTCTGAAGTGATAATCGAGCTGTGTTGCTCGATTAAACTGTCCTCGGCGAGTTTCTTCTATTTGTGATCCACTTTCGACTTTGACACCGCACTGTCAGGAAAAATCCCATTGAGCACTGGCTTGAAAATGTTGAAGACGGTCTGCGTTCGACGCGCCGAATTCTGAAAATCACGGAGAAGTCGTTAAAGTTTTGTTAAACGCTAAATCTAATATGAAAAAATTTGTGATTTTCTATAGTATTTTTTTTTTTTTTTTTAATCGAAATGCAATATTTTGACAATCTTCTGTTTTCTAGAGACATTGGAACGACCGGTAAATAAAGAGTTGAAATTTGCACGTTTTACGAGAGATCATCTGAATTTCTAAAAACGCATCGCTTCGAATTGCGAAATTTACGAAAAATTACGAATTTCTCACATTTACCACGCCGTACGGTATTTTTAATAAATGTGTCTGGACTAGCAGTTGCCAAATTGATTTAGCACGGATCCACGCGTACGCGATCGTGAATGCCTCGACTTTGATCCCACGATCGATACACGCGACCAACCGCAACGATTTTGCAACGAACTCGAGTGAAGGGTGACACGTTTACGATAATTAAGTCAGTCCGATGAAAAAGTTGCGAGAAAAAGAATCGTATATTGGAGATCGAATACAAGCTCGAGCAGAGTGTTATGAGATAATCCTCATTTCGCATAGCATGGAGATATCGACTCCTGACTGTTTTTGTTCGACAAACGAGTAAGCTTCGATCGGTTTTAATAAAGAAAAAAAAAAAAAAAAAATTAGCTAATTACGAATTTTTGCATTTTTCGCTTACCAAGATCGCTCTATTCAGAACTTTGGTGACGTTGGTAATTAGTGTGAAACCAGAACCAAATAGAGGCGCCGGTATGTCCAAGGATACCCTCGTCCTATCGAAAATAGGGATATCCTCCGTGGTCGTCGTGATCAACTCCTAGACACACGTAAAAGCAATCAATGATAGTTCGCCTTTTAGAGTGTATTTAATATTTCATCAAGTAGATTAATAAGTATTTATGAAGTACAGATAATTTTACTTGCAGGGAATATTGATCAGAACGATTAATATTCTATATGGTATAATTATCAAATTGGTCAAGAAACAATTTTATTTATAGAATATTGATTAGAACAATCCACTATTGATACTCTATATATTACAGTATAAATATCTATCTACACATTAGATTGATAGAAATAATTTTGTTTATAGGACATTAATTAGAATGATCCACTGTTAATATTTCATGTAGTATAAATGTCTATATATCAGATTAATTAAAGACAATTAGAGTTTAGACTTGAGGAGGTTTTACTTACGAAGAATATTATTAATATTTCATGTAGTATAAATATCTTTATATCAGATTAATACAGACAGTTGTACTTATGAAGTATTGAGTAGAACGATCCATTATTAATAAAGTATATTTTATATAGTACGAGTATTTATATATCAGATTAGCAGAGATAATTTTACTTACAAGGTATACACGTCACGCCGTGTTACCAATATCATAAATAATCAAACATCCGATATTATGAAATAATACCGGTATCATGGAAAAAGAGAAAGAAAGAAAAAATCGATATATATATATAATCAGTCTAGTTTATTGCTTCTTTGATTTTTCTATCCAGCGATATATTTATGGCATTGTGCAAATCACATGTTGCGTATGCACACGGAAAGAAAAAAAAGATCGAAACAATCATATTCTATACGCTAATATCCCGATATAATTATAACCTAAATATTTTCCGGTCAATTTGATCTCCGCTATTTCATCGCGCGTGCACGTCGATGTTTTTAAAAGTCCAATTCGCTACGCCGTTTCTTCTAATTAACGCAAGTTATATCGTCCTTCTAGCAACAACTCCGCTAACTCGCAGTCGATCCTGCGCATCTTCAGAGAGGGATAGGAAAGGAGGTGGCAATCGTGAATGACTGAATGACTCGGCTGGTAGGCAAAGAAGGCCTGCTCGTGATTTTATTTCAGAAAATAAAAGAAAGAAACATTTTTCGCCATCATCCACTGTTGCTCGTAACGTTATCTCAGCAGGGTGTAACACTTAGAGAACGTAAGGTTAAGTTAATTGTATTTACAATCGATTTGCACAGCGTCGAGGTTCGCCCCGCGACGAGGTATACACCGAAACAGTTATTTACAAACTCCGCACAATTGATGAATCGACATCGAAGGGTAAAGGGTAACTCCTTGGGGCTAGAAGTATACGTAGAAGAGAGATCTCTTGCGCGTCTTTCTAATCATTGGAAGGCTACTTGTGTGCTTGTGGGGGGGGGGGGGGACTTGTGTCGCAGAAGAGAGAGGAGGACGCATCCTGGGCTGTTTTATCGGCGGTGCTAAAAACGAAAAATCCATTGTACAATTTTTTTCTGTCGTACACGTTTCCAATGTGTCGAGGCGTTGCCTCGCGTTCTCGTACAGTCCTCTCTCAGTTACTTTCTCATTCTTTTTCTTTCGGTTTTCTTTTTTTTTTTTTTTTTTTTTTTTTTTGCTATGCGCTTTTCTAGGCGAGTGTTTAGTTGCGTCATGGATCCTCTGTCACAAGCGTGGCTGCGTGGATGGTCCCTTTGGACGTGTCCAAACGCCAGGGTCCAACCAAGGTCCTCGTTCGCATCGCGTCCGCTTTTTAAGCCGTATAATACGCCCCTTGCGGTGGCTCGTATTCGTACTGTTCGTGGCACAACAGTCGTTTTAAATTGGCGGTGTTTTTTCTTTTTTTTAGCTTTTAGCGCTCGTTAATGTGTAATCGTTTCGATCGTGCGTCTCAGCTGAGGTTAAAGTTAATCCAGCACGCGATATATACTATAGCCCGTGATGCGGTTAAATGGTTTAATCGTACGTTTGCGAGTGAAGCCGTGGTTACTCGTAGGTAATCGATAGATTAAATGCCACATGCGAGCAGCGAACGCTCGTTTCAATTTAAGCATGCCAGATTAAACGAGCTCGTGCAAATCTTCAATCGTTGTTATTTCGAGGATGAAACCTGAGACAAACGTGCAAGTTTCACGAACGAGAGCCTCCTACTAGCTTCTAGCTTCTCCCTTTTGTTAATGCCTGCTTCCGCGTCCAACGATTTCGCGAGAAAACGAAATGAGAAAGCGAAATGGGAAAGGCTGCTGGTTGCTGTTAATTGTGAGTCGCTCATTCTTCAGCGACATTCTGCATTCATTCATTCGTTGCAAAGTGACACAGTCGTATTATTGAAACAAAGTGAGAGAGAAAGAGAGAAAGAGAGAGAGAGAAAGAAAAACTGTTATCATATTCCTACCCCGTCGCTAGTATGTCCGTACGATCCGAAATCGGAGCTTCCCTCGTGAGAACCGGAAAGTCCGCCATTCTTCTGCTGGCTCAACGACGACAGGCTGCCAATCTTCGAGGTCAAGAGGTTCGCGATAAGCGAGAGCGCATTCGAGCCACCTTTACCACCTTCGTCCGAGGATCCTAAATCGAAAGTCGTTCGAATTTGAAAGAGATTCCGCGATTACATAGACAAAAGCTCGTCTTACCTCCGCCGTAACTGTGATCGTGGTCGTGATCGTGCGACTCGGAATTCGAGGAGGATGCAGAGGACAATCCCTGAGCGATGGAGCTGAGCGGCGCGAGTTTTGAAACGACCGCGCCGGCGAGACCTTGCTTCGCGCTCGACAGGAAAGTCTGCGCGCTGTTCAGCACCGGGCCGATGCTCCCGCTCGCCGCCTTGATCTTCGCAGCGACCAGCTCGTTGATGAACTTGCTGGTCGCCGAATACTTTGTGTCGATGCCGTACGCTGCGTTCTTCACTTTGTTCGCTTCGTCCAACGCTGACAGTGCCTTGGTCTTCGAATCGATGAACGAGTCCAGCTTCTGCAACGCCGAGAATCGTCCCGAAATGTCAACGTGAAACTTTTCATCGAGCGCGTCCAGAAAATACTGTTGTGTAATTATCTTACGCCGAAGACGAAATTGATTATCCCGTTCGACACGCCCAGTTTCAGCACGCCGATCTTCCTCTTGTCCCTGTCGGTCCTGTCCCCGTCCGCTTCCTGGTCGTCGTCAGCCTCCACAACGTATATCTGATTGAAATTGAACGAAGCGTTAATCTCCTCTCCGGCGAACGGGGAGAACTACTTTCCCCCTTGTCGCGAGTCGAACGATCGAGTTGATGAAATAATCGGGGGAAAGGAGAGAAAGGACCGAACGTTTAACGTTACATTTACGCATGTAACATCGAGTCGATGGTGAAAAAACTTTAAAGTGTCTCGAAGAGACCGATTATGTTCGCTCGAGTCATCATTCGCGAGTCCTCGGGGATGGGATTTTCTACTAAACGTCGAGATTACAATGGAATATAGAGTGGGCTAAAAGTTTCCTCCCACCTATTTTTTTTTTTTTTTTTAATAAATTTATTTATATTTTTATAAAATTTGTTATTTTTTAAATAAAACATCGAAATGTAAGAAGAACCTAATTTTGTTAAATGTATAGTAAAAAATTACTGATTTATTTTAGCAGAAGGTGATTTTTGGCCCACCCTGTCTATTTCCTCTATCGTCCATTTCATTTTCGAAAATTAATTAACAAAGAACAATACTGAAAAACAATTGAAGTTTTTTTTTGCAATTAAAGAGGTGCAGGTTTCATTTTTCCCAAAAATTTTCAGAAAAAAAAGTGCACCAAATTTGCACGATATAAAGTTTTCCTGTTTACATATGTATATCACACGTCATAACTGAGAACGTAGCTATACTTTTCTTACTACGCAAGATCATCATTTAGTTCGGAGAATTCCCATGAATGTTATAAGCGTATAATTTGAAAGTGTGACAGATTCACTATTGTTACATACATGTCGTTTCTATATTATATATATATATCGATTTATGCGTTAAAAATTGCATATGAAGCAACAAAAACAAGTCCGGTATAAATCCTGAAAATATGATGTTTGTACGGAAGTTTCTGATCGAACGACAGGCCGTGTAGAACCACGTGTGCGCGAGTCAGAATTTCAGTTACGCGCGCGTATCCGGCTTCGCGTGTCGGTAAAGTTAGTCAACCACTTTCACTCTCTTTGGCTCGTTTCTTCGGCCCCCCACCACCGGTCGTGCTTCTTTCTTTTCCCGTTCGACCTATCGATCCGTCTCTCCTCTTTCTCTTTCTCCGCCTCTCTCGAGGATCGTAAACGACGATCGAGACACGCGTCTCGGGAAAGAGAGAAGCAGATCTGAAGCAACGAAAACTGGATTTCACGGACGGACAGTGTTTCTCTAGTCTCTAGCTCGAATTCGCGCGAGAGGCGGCAGGATAATGAAACTTGGAAATAGACGCTTTCACTTTCGCGAGGCGCGTGGTTTCCGCGCGATTTCGTCGCCTCCCTCCCTCCCTCCCTCCTCCTCCCCCCGCCGCCTCGTCGAGAAGAATCGCAGTTGGTCTTACCTCGTTCAAGGGATTCAGGTCCTCGGACTCCCTTTTCACCACCGGATCCGCGTGCGCGTAGGCGATCAACAACGCCAGGCCGAACAGCAGCCAGGTTATCCTCATTTTGCTTCGCTTCTTCTCCTCCGGTTCGCGAGTCACTGTTTGCTCTGAGGAAAATCAGCGAGGCGAGTGAGTAGGTGAAAACCGCGTTAGAACAGAGAGTGACAAACTGTCGAACTGGAAATGTCAAGTGAAAGGATGACGACGGCCTTAACGAATACGATCGACCGATCGACTATCCGCGTAAAACATAGATATATTTCTCTCGGCAACGTGTGACAAGCCGATCGCGCGTGACTGTTTGAACACCGGGCGCCGTTAGACACCATTATAACGATCGAAAGTACGAACTGCAGTTGAAGACAAAGAGGAATAACATTAAAAGAAACGAACGTTGACGATTACTCGAGACTTGCGAATAATTAAAGAACGATGTTCCTCGCGATTTCTGGCGAGAAGCGAGAAAATGGGGAAAGATGAATCGAACGTATGTACGAAGAGTACCGATCGCGGCTGTCTCGGCGAGCTAGCCACGTGGTGCACAGGCTGTCAGAGAGAACGAAGAGACAATGAGTCGAATGCGTGCGGTCAACTTACGGAGAGCGTGCGAGCGTGGACGCGGGTGCGTGAGTGGCGAGGCGAGATGTGTACCTGTCGGAGCGCGAGGCTCGTTTGAGGACCACGGTGAAGGAGATGCCGATGTCTTAGCCGGCCGAAAGGGGAACGAAGGCGAGCATGTGTGCCCCTTCGAGAATCGAGAATCGAGCTTCGAGAATCGCAGGCCTCGCCTCCCAAGGTGGGGCAGGTTCGATTTGCTCCGCGAATCCCCGCGTAGCCTCGTTCTCTCGGCTTCTCTCGAAATCGGCTCTCGGATCAGCTCGTTCCCGCCGATTCGCGTATTTTTTCTTCGAGCTTACTCTCGTTTCGAGCTTGCGCAACGTGCATGCATATGTCGTGTGCGCAACGGGGAAGATTCGACCAGCCGGGACCTAGATCATCGTCTGGATCGGCCGATGTGATTTCAAAATCGTGGAATATGTGGCGTTGAACGGGGATCGCCGGCGGCGGGGCTCGAGAGAGAAGTGGAAAACTGGAATGATCGGAATTATTCGGATGTGAAAATGGGGAGAGGGGAAAACCGTAGCCCCGTATCGTTTGTTCGTTTGGCGCTCGCGGCGACAATGACAGTGATTCGGTCGAAGATGATCGAATTATGCAATGTTCCGAACGATTTCAAGTAGGACAAACCGCTAATTTCGATCTTTCAATAATCTTTCTGCGAGTGAAACGAAAGAGGCTTTAAACGTAAAATTTGCTTATCATATCGAGATGTGTAGTTCTTATTCGAACTTATAGTTAAACTTATTAATAGAGATATATTATGATACATTATATTATGATATATTATGATATATTATATTTATAAATATATATTGCGTTCTGTTATATATTTATATTATATATAAATACATTATAGATATGTTATAGATATATTATACTATGTCATATTATATAATGTATTACAACATATCTATATTATATGATACGAGTATAATGTATTATAATATACAATATATATTGTAGTATATTATGGTATATTGTACATTGTAGTATATTAATATAGACTAATTAATTTAATCTTCCACAAAGACTTTCGAAACGGTGGAATTTAGTTAATTATATAAAACGATAATACGATACTGCACGAAATTGATTTATTTTTGTGGCAAAGTAACCGATATAATTTACTCTCTTTTGATTACAAGTATTATTATATAACAACGTAACTTTTAAGGAACTCAAAATTATATTATAGACGTAGTTATATAATTAAACATGTTTCAAATGCGAGATGTTCCGTAGATCGTTCATCGATTCAAAAATTCCGGCCAAACTCGCCGATTTACTCGTACAACGACCGATCGTTGCTTCGATCACTATCGTCGAAGATCTTAAGACCCGATCGAATACAGTTGCTATGTCTTTTTCGATGCCGTAGGAAGTTTACTTTCTCGTAGTATTATCTCACACGACGCCGTAGCATCGTAATGCCGATTACGCAACCGGCTAGTTTCACCGAATTGGATCATTCCCCTTTCGCGCTTTACATATTACGCTCGTGACAAAACCAACGTCGTAATCTCGCCTTTAATTAACGCGGCGACGAAACTTTTCAGCCACGGTATTGTCCTCGCGGTTGATTAAGTGCCGGCTTAACCTCATTTTCCATTTTCGTACTGACCACTCATCGACTTTCCTTCCCGAAACTTCCTGCCCACGAATCCTCGTGACTTGGATACTTTTTTTTTTTTATTATTAGACGAATGAAATATGTACTGCCTTTTGTATATGCGCACGCGTTGACACTTGGATTAATGCGCGTCGACGAATCTGAACGTTGTTGGAATACGTGAATAAATGGCTAATAATATTATTGCAGCCATTTCGTGAAATCAACAGGAAAGTGTCGCGAGACAAGGATATTTTTCCTTAATTTTCAGAAAAATCTTTTCCGTTTTTTAGCTACAGCTTGACAACTAGAATTTATTTTCGAGAATACCAATTTAAATATCTTTAATAATTATATTATCTTAATCAATCTAATCAATCTAATCAATTCGAACCACCCTAAGTACCTTGTAAGTTTCTCAATATAAATACCGTATTTTAAAAATAAAATTACCGTATCTTTTTTTTTTTTAATGAAAAGATTCTTTTCACATTTTTTCTATTTTGTTGTAGAATGCACATGGTTACACACATGAGAAAGAAATTGAAATTTAATTTTGAAGATAGTACGATACTTAAATATCTTAAATAATTGTAATATACATAAATACCATATTTTAAAAATAAAATTACCACAGTTTTATTTTTTTTGAATAAAGAGATTCTTCTTTTAACGAAGAGAGCTTTTTTCTAATTTTCCTATACATACGGGAAAGAAATTGAAATTTATAATCAATTGTGAAACTCTCAAGATATCAAAGTATTTTTCGGAAAATCTGCGAAACCTGAAAAGAGTTATGATTATTCCAAAAGAAGTACTCGGTGCTAAAAGGGTTAATGTTATTTAAAAAATTCGTAGAAATTTTACAAAGAGGAGGAAACTGCGGTAAAGTCGTCGCGCCAGTTATTTATGGCTGCCGATAGAAAAGGGGATCGATTTCGCTCGCGATTACCGCTGACCTGATCATGGAACTTAATCGGGACGAACCCTACTTTCACCTTGACCGTAGACTTGAAGGCGTCACCGACGATTTTCAACTTCTTCCCAAGTACGAAGAAAGTGCCTTCGAGAGTGAAACACTCTCGTAAAACACCGTGTCGTTATCTTCGTCGAACAATCACGCGGATCATTCTCGTTAATCGGCGACTCTTCCCGCGTCTAGAAAGGAGCTAGAAAGCCAAGTGTCTCGTCTCTCGTCGAGGTCTTCACGACCACCAAGGCGGGCATCGAAGATCCAATTAATTCGCGGTTGCATCGACGTGACGTTAACGCGACGAAAATTCGAAAGCGCCGTTCAGGATGCAGCCCACGCACGCGCGGATAGAAAGGATCAAGGACGCAGTTCCCAATTTGACGCTCCAATGCACTTGCTCGCCGGTAACTAACAACGCCGATTAACTATTATTATTATTAGTATTATTGTATTCGACAAATTCTTTTCCCCTCTTTCTCTCTCTTTTTTAACCTCTTGCGCCAGTAACTGGTTCACGGACCATAACGAGTGACCAAACCGTACACAATAATTCGTCTTCTTTTTTAATTCATCGGTATATCATTGGATAGAAATTACTAAAAAGTAATAAATTTATAATTATTTGTTTTGAATTATTTTTCAATATACTGAAAACTGAGAAAATATTGCAATTTTGGGCCAACTAATTGCGGACCATAACGAGTGACCAAACCGTATACAATAATTCGTCTTCTTTTTTAATTCATCGGTATATCATTGGATAGAAATTACTAAAAAGTAATAAATTTATAATTATTTGTTTTGAATTATTTTTCAATATACTGAAAACTGAGAAAATATTGCAATTTTGGGTCAACTAACTGCGGACCATAACGAGTGACCAAACCGTATACAATAATTCGTCGCTTTCTTTTTGGACTCGTCGATACGATATCACTGAATAGAAATTATTGAGAAGTATAATTTATTATTTATTTCGCCTGAGTTATACTTAAATATACTTAAAACATGAGAAAATATTGCAATTTTAGGCCAAATATTCTCGATGTACGTGGCACGTCATTACAGCACAGGAGGTTATTCTCGATCGAAAGAAATTCACGGTTTGACTTATTACGAAAATCTAAACGCGGGCTATTGCCAACGAGAGATTTTAATGTCCAAGGATCCAAGGTAATCCACGGATTTCGTGGAACGTACGGCCGCCGAAAGAGTTACGAGGGAATTATGCAAATCGCACGGTGGATTGCCTCTGTTTTTTTTCGAGGCTCGCGCTGAGATTAGGCAACCACGAGTCCTGACCCGCGACTTCTCAAACCTGCGCAGCCTTTGTCGTATATATTTATCACGTATAGAGGGACACTCGATTCGCGAGCAGCCGTTACGAAATCACGGCCGAGAAGCAGCCGCGTCGTGCTCGTCTAACTTCGGACTGGAATAAATTTCACAGTCGCCTGCCCGGTGGTTCAGAATGGAATTCTCAGCCACGAATGCGTCGGAATTCGGAACAAAACAAGCGGTTTCACATTTGCAACCAGACGCGAGTCGTCTTCTCTTCGGTCAACGTTTTCACAAGCATCTCGAGACGAGACGAGGCGACGTTTAGAAAGGGGAATTTGCCGTTTCGTCACTGACCGGCCTGACGCTTCGCGAATGAAATATGGAAGACGAGGCGGCGATATGTTATCCTGGCAACAGGATTCTCCTGCGAGACGCGAGCCTGGTCCTCGAATGTGAAAGAGGGCACGACCCGAGGGCCTCAGTTGGCTAAGTAGTGCGAGCCGTTATGTGGTCAGACGGTCGTTCATCTTCGCCTCGTCGTCGCGTGGTGCCACACAGCGCTCGGATATGTAAACGCGCGAGGTATTTCAACCGCGGCTAGACCACCGGTAACTTTCCAAACAGCCGGACAGAGACGGAGAACGGAATGAAAGGAGGATCGAGAAGAGAAACAGAGTGTCAATAAAAGTGTTAGAAAAGAGGTCTCTTGGTATGATCAATGCAAACGATGCAGCAGCATGCACAATTGGTCAAAGTAATTGAAACGAGCAATTCGAGACGTATGGATATACAATTTCGTTGGTTTAGAAAGTTCGTGTAAGATATTGGAATATTTTAGACTGCGCAAGTTATTGCGAAATAAATTGTGGATGCTCGTGACCTATTTATATTTAACATTTCAGTTTGCTGCGTTGCTTTCGACTGCAATATAAAATAACTATAAAATGATGAAACCTATCAAGAAATTTGGAAGAGATGCGCTTATGTAAAGCGTTTGGAACCGGTTATTGTTCGATCGGTACGGGAAGTCGAGAGAGCCTTGACCAAAATAACGGCTTCTGGGAGTAACTGGGAGACGTTTTTTTTTTTTTTCTTTTTCTTTCATCCGGTTTCGAAGAAAGGTAATCCGGAACAGGGTGAAATGCACATCTGCGGGAACGGGCACCGTTATGTTACGCAACTCGACTCGAATTCAGAAAGAAAGCGGATATTCTGGCATCTCCTGTTTCACG